TGGGGGGTTTTGCTTCATTTTAAAGCATCAGTCTGTGCAAGGATATTTGTTTTTACTTTGATAACTAAAAGTTAGTAAATCTTTTAACACCTCCCTGTGTCTTACTTTTTCACTGAAAAACAACCCAGACTTTTTAATGATTGTTTACAAATGCAAGTGGGGAAAGCATTTTAAGATGTTTTCAAATTACACAAATATGCACAGGATAAAAGAATTGGATAGAAATACAAGGAACACACTGTGGAAATGTCTTACGATTTAGAAAATGACACATTTCAATGCAAAACACAGCAATTTACAATTGTAATTTATTCTGATTGTATTCCACATAGTCTATATTTATTGCTTGCCTAAGGAAATCTTGCTTCTTTCCTTTTGGCCACTATCCTTAACACTACAGAATTTGTATTTGTTATTTTCCCAAAAATCCGTTTAGTTTTGTTGGGTTTTTTGCTCTTATATATGCTTGAAAGGTCTGCACATACATAAAACTGTTCTGCATGTGTCCCTTCGTCCTGCTCAAAGACATTTGTAGGGTTTAGAATTAACCTAGCTCTACTGCTGTTGAATTACATAGAAAGGGTGTTTCTCAGCTAGGAGCAAGGTTATAGATGAATTTTGATGATTGTTTTATCTGTGAATTCTGCACTAAAATCAATGGGCTTGGTTTGGGTTTTTTTTTAATTTGTCCAGCTTTTGCTAACTATCATTTTTTGTGCCTTCCCCCCCCCCGGGAAAATTACTTTTTAGTATGGAATATTTTGTTACATCAGAGGATCTTTTACTGTATGGGCACTCACTGTGATCTGAGAAAGACATGTAGGCAACCAGTTTGGAGTCCTTTTATCTAGAAATAGAGCTAATTCAGTTAAATTATGAATGCATCCCTATAAAGATTTTCAGGGCCATCGTGTAAAGAGGAGAGGAGTCAGGTAGTGTTGGATGTGTGGGAAGATGGAGGTTGGCTAGGTAGTCATACATACTTGTATTAGCATGTTTTCTGTGCTATGAAAAATGGATATTGCACTTTGCTTAAAGGATTAATCTTTATGTGTGTGTGTGTCTTCATGTGGGGTGCAGAGAAGTCAGCATAATGTAAAAGTTGAATAAATCCATCTACAGGGTTAGCAGTGCTGAATGTTTTTTAAAAATAACTAATTGAATAATGTTTTCTGGATTTTCAACAAGTGTCCCTTTACAGATGTAAATAGTGCACTGAGGGAAGTTAGAATAACCTGACAGACAGTATTGATACTACTGAAAAAAATCCACATAAATCTGTAGCTTGTCTCCATGAGTATCCTTGTCCTCATTGCTGTTCAGTTTAATCCTCCAGCTTTCTCACGGATGTGCTTTCTGGAAGTATGTTTTGGTTCTTTAAATTATTAATACCATTAAAATTTATAATTTTCTGCTATTACCTCTAGGAAAATAGAGATTGCAATGTGAAACATAATTGTCTCATTTTGAAATTTGTGTTATGATAGTTGAGCACAACTAGAGCAGATTTAAATATTCCCCAGAGCAATGTGACTAAGTATTACACACTAACTGAAGTTCTTTGTGTGCAGATAAATAAATAGATAAATTAATTCCCCAAATGGCCAATATTTGTGTGCAAATAGACAGTGCCAGAAAACTTTGCCATTAATATGCCACATGAACAGAAATTCAGTGTTTAAAGGAATACCATTTCAGCTTTGAGTTAGGTGGTGAGAACTGCCACTAGCCTGGTTGAAAAGTCAGTCTTGCACTTATGTTTGCCTACCAAAGTATTTTAAGTGCTTCCTGCAATATTGGGAATAGACAAAGTCTTTGCTGTACTAAAGGAAAAATGGAAGCTAAGAATACTTAGATATGAGAATATTTCTTATCCCTGGGTAAAGTGCTCTCCTTCCCCCATCGTTCAAGAAACTCAGTATTTGCAGGCCTTATAGGGCAAACTGCAGTTACAGGTGCCAAGAAATAGAGAGTTGGGCTCTTTAACCTTGCACAAAGCATATTCCTGAAACAAGCAGAACCCACCATCTATTTTAAGTAAGCATTTACTCCATGATGATATAGCAACATTCCAGGATTATGGAAGCCAAAAAGTGGGCCTGTGTTACGGAATTCTGTAAGGAGTGCTTGCTTGGGCCAACCTGCAGATAAACTCTATGTGGAATACAACATTCATACATGGTATGAATGGTAATTAGTATGTGCTGGGTAATGATCCAAGAACGAAGCATACATGAGTGGTAATTATTGTGTGCTGGGTAATGATCCAAGAACGAAGTTGGAAATTAGGGATACGTTTATTTGGAAAAAAAATTCTCTAGGATCAAATTAAATTATTTGCATAGTTGTCAGTTTCACAATATTAAGAAAATTTTCATATCATATACAGAAAGAAAACATATCACTTTTAAACAAATAACTAGATGAATAGATTTTAGTGGTAATTATTGTGTGCTGGGTAATGATCCAAGAACGAAGTTGGAAATTAGGGATACGTTTATTTGGAAAAAAAATTCTCTAGGATCAAATTAAATTATTTGCATAGTTGTCAGTTTCACAATATTAAGAAAATTTTCATATCATATACAGAAAGAAAACATATCACTTTTAAACAAATAACTAGATGAATAGATTTTAATTGTAAGACCAGTGTGAAATGTGTTTTCCCCTTTGACTCCAAGGATTGCTATTCCGATGAATGTAAAAGTACGAACTAGCTTCACATATACTTATTTCTCTTTTTTTGGCTTGTGTTTATCTTGGTTTTTTCCTCCTGTATTTATCACAGTTGGAACACAGGTGACCTTTCAGCATGTGACATTTAAGGTTTCATGTGCTGCTAAGCCAGAACTCTAAGTTTTCTGGAAACAATTCTGCAGGACCTGCCTGTTCCAGGCAAGAGAAAGGGGTGCAGACCCTGTCTGTGGAAGCTGTAGCCTTCATCTCCAGTGCAGGGTAGTGGTGACCTGCTTTCATCTTCAATCAGGCACTTGGCCATGCTTTCCTTCTCCTAGACTTGCTCCAGGTGCCCTGTGAGGCTGCCTGTGATTACCACCTTGTGACTTGACTTGGAAAGGCCCATAGTTTTCTTTAGCTTTTAGAGCACCAGCTCAAAAATGCTGACATAGACATTTTGTTCCCAGCTTTTTCAACAACAGCTTTGTTTTCCCCTCTGCTTTTACATTTCTAAGAAGGAATCCATTTTCTAAAAGGAATGGATTATTTGCTGGTGTGAGCATCCATCAGCTGAAAAAAAATACAGGAGCTTTGTTCCCCTTGGTGTTATCTTCTTACCTGAGGCATTGAAGGATTTAGCTACTGTCAGCTGGCCACATAGATAAAGGTGGTATTTCATGGTCAGATTTAACCCAGTTTAGGTTCTGAATTTCCCCCCAGAGGCTCCCATTTTTCTTTGGCTGTATAGTAACAAGGCTTTTACATTCAGGACTCACTTGGTGCCTATAGCAAGTGTGAAGAACCTGGGTTAATGTGCCTATCGTGACTGATCTCCTTTACTCCCTTACTTCTGGAAGTCTCATGGAGGAAGCAGTTCTGGCCTGCTACAGATAGGCTTAGAAGTCTCAGGTGGAGCATTTTGAGACAGGTTATAAGACATCATAGAAAACCTGTGCATTACTTGGTGAGGACAGAAAATGTCTGTGGTGTGAGCTGAACAGAAGTTTTGGGTGATACATTGGGGTTTTTTTTCTGTTTCCAGCCACTTGGCCTGAGTATGTGTGCTGGTTTGAGCTGAAGTAGAGTTAACTTTCTTCACAGAGGCTAGTATGGGGCTATGTTTGGGTTTTGTGCAGAACACAGGGTTGAAAATGCAGAGATGTTTTTGTTATTGCTGAGCAGAGCTCACACAGAGCCAAGGCCTTTGCTGCTTTCCATCCTGCCACACTGGCAAGGGAGCTGGGGATGCATGGGAGATTGGGAGGAGACACAGCTGGGACAGGTGACCCAAACTGACCCAAGGGATATTCC